GCCTGGGGAGCAGCTGCTCCTACCTGTACCGGTGACCTTGGTGGATGGGTCGCCCTACTGCAGCTCTGGGCGTGGGAGCGATTCCCACATCTGACACCGTGACATGGTCTTCGATGGCTTCCGGCCAACACTCGTCAGTATTGTGACCAACTATTCCAGTACAACCTGTGGTTTGACGAGATGGACACCATGGTGGTTAGTATATAACATTTCATTTTATAGAATAGCTTTCATTTGTTTGTTTTAGATTTAGGGATAATAACGTGACCATTTTTTTGTGTAGTGTCAACCTTACATTGAGTGAGCACTTCATCTCAGAGGTAGTGTGATACAATCAGAGACGTTTCGAGCAGTAGTGTCACTTAACTGCTTTTCATCAGTGATGTGGCACCATCTTGACCGCGTGCTCCGACAGTTTGCATGAGGCAGCATGAGCCCCATCCGCCACATTCTGAGGTTAGGATTTTTCTTCGTCAGATTACTCGTGGGCTGGGCAGCAGTTGGTATGCGCCTAGAGAGAGTCGATTGCTCCATACAGTGATGAAGTTTTAGCCTACCACTCGGACGATGTCACCAGACGTTCAGGCACACGGAGAGGAGCTGCAGCGGAGGCATTAGTTATTTGTTTGCTTAATATTTTTTTTGTATTTGTCTTGAATTTCTTAACTGTGTGAAATTTCTGACATTTCAATTTAAATTTTAGTACGACACTTTGGAGCATGCTTAGTTGAGTTTACGTGACGGAGTACGGGCTGGAGGGATGTGCACCGACCTGTGTGAGGAGTTGGCCAACATTATGGCATCATGGGTTTGGGTTGCTACTTTAGATTTGGAGCGGCGCAGACACCCTGATCTCACAGTACCTGTACGGCCAGAGCGTACTGATCCGACACAGGACTGGGTCGTCCCGGAGCCACAGTTCGGACAGGAGCATAGGCCTCGTAGGCAGCGACATGAGCATCGTGATGTACATAACCCAATCTGAATTTCAGATCAATAGCAATCACAGCCCGAATAGCAATCACAGCCCGTCCGGCCTACTACGACCTTCCAGTTTAATCCGTTGTTTTAGCAAGACACGTATTCGGGACATTGGAGCGGCGCTGCGCTACTTCTACAGGATTTCAGCCTCCTCCTCAGTCGCAGTTTCAGACGGATCCTTCTTCGAGCTTTCAGCCTCCGCCTCAACTGCAGTTTCAGTCAGATCCTTCTTCGAGCTTCCATCTACTAGATGATAGCTTCCATACACCGCAGCATGCTACGATGGGAGGCGGATACATGGCCTCGGGTGGTGATACTGCCTCGTCTCCCAACCCATGGGACGCTCTAGAGGGTGATGCGACCTTTCAGGAGACGATGTGGAAGTATGAGCAGCATCTTCAGTATGAGCAGCATGGTGGAGGTGTACCAGAGGAGCAGATTCAGTCTCAGCGGGATGATATGTTCGGTACACAGGATCAGGATGGTGGTGTCGAGGGAGATCAGCCCCAAGAGTATGATGGTAGGCCTCCAAGTAACAAGGTGCCTGCGAGTTGTGGTACTGGCGGCCATCTAGATGTGGAGCATGGTGGTCGTCGTGGTGGTGGTTAGTGAGACTATTATTGTTGTTCTAGTATTTATTGTTATGTAACATAATACATGAAGTTAAAAATAGTCCACATAATAGTCTCAAAGAAGTACATAATAATAACATAACAAAAATAATAGTCTCACTAACGACCACCACGACGGCCACCATGCACCACCACTAGATAGCTGCCAGTACCACACCTCGCTGGCACCCTGTTACGTGGAGGCCTACCATCATACTCCTGGGGCTGATCTCCCTCGACACCACCATCCTGATCCTGTGTACCGCCACCATGCTGTTGAGACTGAAGATGCTACTCATAATTCCACATCGTCTCTGGAAAGGTCGCATCACCCTCTAGAGCGTCCCACGGGTTGGGAGACGAGGCTACTCTAGTATCACCACCCGAGGCCATGTATCCGCCTCCCATCGTAGCATGTTGCGGTGTATGGAAGCTATCCTCTGGTGGATGGAAGCTCGAAGAAGGATTTGACTGAAACTGCGACCGAGGCGGAGGCTGAAAGCTCGAAGAAGGATCCGTCTGAAACTGCAACTGAGGAGGAGGCTGGAAGGCCTAATGCGGTTCTGCCTGAAATCCTGAAGAAGTAGGGCCGCTCCAATGTCCTAAATACGTGTATGGCTGAAACGGCGGATTAAACTGGAAGGTCGTAATAGGCCGGACGGGCTTTGATCGCTGTCGATCTGAAATCCGGACTGGGTTAGGTACATCACGATGCTCACATCGCTGCCTACAGGGCCTATGCTCCTGTCAGAAATGTGGCTCCGGGACGACTCAGTCCGGTGTCAGATTAGTACGCTCTGGCCAGGCAGCCATGATGGGCTGATCATAAGTTGGTTGTACAGGTACTATGAGATCAGGGTGTCTGCATCGCTCCAAACCTAAAGTAGCAACCCCTGATGTCATCATGTTGGCCAACTCCTCACACTAGTCGGTGGACATCCCTCCAGCCCGTACTCCGTCACGTAAACTCAACTCAGCATGCTCCAAAGTGTCATACTCAAATTTAAATTGAAATGTAAGAAATTTCACACAGTTGAAAAATTCAAGACAAATACAAAAAATATTAAGCAAACAAATAACAAACCAATGCCTACGCTGCAGCTCCTCACCGTGTTCCTGAACGTCTGGTGACATCTCGATACCACTCCATATGCTCCGAGGGGTAGGCTAAAACCTCATCATTGTATGGTGGTGTCACTACGAACTCTTGTCGACGGTTCCAGAAAGCAATCGACTCTCTGTAGGCGTGTACCAACTGCTGCCCAAACCACGAGTACTCTAACGAAGAAAAAATCTAACCTCAGCCTCAGAATGTGGCGGATGAGGCTCATGCTGCCTCATGCCAAACTGCCGGAGCACGCGGTCAGGATGGTGCCACATCACCGATAAAAAGCAGATAAATGGTACTACTGCTCGAAACTTCTCAGACTACATCACAATACCTCTGAGATAAAGTGCTCTCAACGTAAGGTTGCCACTACACAAAAAAATGGTCACGTTATTATCCCTAAATCTAAAACAAACAAATGCAAACTATTCTATAAAATGAAATGTTATATACTAACCACCATAGTGTCCATCTCGTCAAACCACAGCTTGTATTGGAATAGCTGGTCATAATACTGACGAGTGTTGGCCGGAAGCCATCGAAGACCACGTGGGAATGCATTCTCGGAAATCTGCGCCCTCGTCTTTGAATGTCACGGTGTCAGATGTGGGAATCGCTCCCACACCTAGAGCTGCAGTAGGACGACCCATCCACCAAGGTCACCGCCTAGAGAAGTAAAGGAATGTGTAATGTGCAAAGCCGACCCATCTCACGGTACAGGTAGGATAAAACAGCTGCTCCCCAAGCGAACAGTCCAGCTCTCTGCCAATCCTCAATCAGAAGTAGGTACTGTAGGTGCACCGTAGCTCCAGACCGATCCGTGAACAGTACACCTCCCATCAGAGAAAGAGCATAAGCTCGTGCAAACTACTCTGTAACCTCATGGATGCATTTCCCGGCAGATGACTGAATTCATCCCTCCTCACAGTTCTAACGACACCGCCTGAAAGATCAGCCTGAACCCGTCCTAACAGTCTCAAACAGATCGTTGGCACTCCTCATCCGGTATATCAACTACGACGGCATCACCATTGATAGACCGTTAATTACACATGTTTTCACCCCTGTTCTTACACCGTTTGAGATGTGGTTTCTCGTGTTTTAGACCGATTTCACGCTAGGTTGTGCTTGTTTATGATATTTCAGGTCCTGGCAAGTGAATGAAGGTTTAGGAGCGAGTTCGGGGTCGATTGGGCGAAGATCAGGCGCGAGGCAAGTCACAAAGGAAGTCGCACGGGCACACCCACAACCCGCACGACCGTGCAAGGGACCAGTTTGGCCGTGTGGGATTGTGCGAGAGCAAACACAGGCAGAGCAGAAAATCTGCACGGCCGTGCAAGGTGAGCCGTGCAGCTCCGTGCAAGGTGAGCTGCACGGAGCTGCACGGCCGTGCGACCCTGGCCGTGTAAGAAGCCTGGAATTCAACTAATCGATACGCTGCGTTTTGACTCGCACGGGCAACTGGGTGAGCTGCACGGCCGTGCGGCCTGCCCGTGTGAGTCGGGAATTGCTGGTTAAAACCCGATTTTCAGCCAAAGGAAAGGGGAGAGCTGGGTTTTGGTTCCCAAACATCCAAGGGACGAACCCTAGAGAGAGAGCGACTTGGGAACATTCTTGGAGCTATTTTGGAGGATTTCTTCGCCATTGGAGCTCGGGAATCAAGCTTGGAGATGGAGATTGAAGATCTAGATCAGATTTCTGCAGTCTCTCTCTTCTCTATGGAGTAACTTCCCTTCACTTAGATTTTGAGGAACCCTAGTTCCATGAGTTAGAATCTTTCTTGTATGAAGTTTTGGATGCTATATTGTTTGGTTATAATCGAATGATGCTTGTTTATTGAGTCAATTGAAGTCTGATCAACTTTTCCTGATTTCTGCTGCAATCTGAGATAGATAGAATCTGATTAGGTTGTTAGAGCCTCATCATTCGGTAGTAGGAGATTGGCTATACGAGAGTTAGCCAGTGTACTGCTTTGTACTGGAATTAGAGATTAGTCGTCTGCCGGATAGTTAGACTGAGAGGGCTTGGTCAGCTTAAGAGATTCCAAGCTACTTTCGGATCTTCCGCAGTTTAATCAACAGTAAAACAACCAAAATGAATTACAACTTGGACCTGATTGAGGAGCTAGGGGGAATCATACCTAAGTGAGTTCCCAAACTGTAATTAGTAGTTTTACTTAGTTTAGTTGGTAGAGTAGTTTAGTTAATCAATCCTTAATCTAGTTTGCTAGATAATGAACTGAAGCTGAGTAATAGTAACTCTAGAGACCCGTGGATTCGATATTTATTATTTGTGCCACTATACTGCAGTCCCTTTCATTGGTTACACTTGGCCATTGTTAGGTGTTGTGTTTTGGCGTGTCAACCGTCGATCACCAGACCGGACAGTGTCACAACGTCCTCTAATCGTGACCTCACCAAACGATAAATGGAAGGTCGACGACTCGGGTCACCACCGCTCTACGAGCGTAGTAATCAAACTCGCATCAGAGTTCATAGGGACCAGGTGCAAAACACTAGACAAGCCAGCCGATTCGAGATATGGCTGATAACGCTCATGGTACGTCACTAAATTGGTCGTACCTCGAACATGGTAAGATCAATCACCAACCTATAGTGCACAAAACTTATATTAATTCAATTACATTCGTAATAATTCTAATTTCACCTAATAAATTCTAATCTATCTAATCTAATCTCAAATTATACTAAAAATTTGATATGTAATCCTAATATAATTTCAGTACAGTTCAGTTCACCAACTAAAATAATCTAATCTAACTAGCTAATTAACTTTACATGAATAATTATCAAATACTTACCTCATTTGCTCAAACTGAGTCGATACGATGTTGGTCATGTCCCCAAAGAAATACCGGATCGACTGGAGCTGGATCAATTGTCGCTGGCGGTAGTCTCATCGAATAAGGGTCTATAAGCCTAGGAACTGCAAAAGCAAAGCAACAAAAACATTAATTAAAAAAATGCTAAACATTAATTAAAAAAAACGGTCGCCGGCGAGACTCTCACCTTGTCGACCTCTCCCCCTGCCTCTGTCGGCGACTACTTCTTCTTCGTCGGACGACATCTCCGTCGAACTCAGGCGGCGGCGCCTCGATCTGCGACGGTGGCGCCTGTGACTGCGTCGGGGTTTCTTGTGACGGCGGCGTGGTTTGGTTCGGGAGTAGTGTGGTGTGGGAGGAGGAAGAAGAAGAAGAAGATAAGAAAGGAGAGGCCCGCGGCGGTTTAAAATAAATGAGAGGTGAAGGCGGGGGCGCTGGAGACTCAAGCGCCAACGCATCGGACTGGGTCAAAAATTTCAAAACGCGGCATCGCCTTTGTCTCTAGCAGCCCCGCCTCTATCTCTACACAAAAACATAATAACTGTGTCAATAGTTTTTAATACGCCATATTGATGGTAAATTTAAAAAAAAAAAAATTTGTGTTATTAACCTGTAAATTACAAAGGTATGTGTGGTATGTGTGGCGATCGACAAAGACAGAAATTAGAAGCTACATAAATACAACCATTTACCCTCCCCGTCTCGAATGAAAGCTAAAAAAGAACAGCAACAAATCAAAATGTCAACAAAGTGAGTCCGAAATGAATGTGTTGAGAGACGAGATTCGAATATCAAACCCCCCGTGGAAATGAATCAAATATCTGAATCGAACCATCACAGCTCCATCGGCTCCGCTCTAAAATGCAACGGCAGACATAATCTATTAAGCGCACCGCATTCTCTGATTTTTCAGGGGACAATTAATCATTGGGTCATAATTCACGAGGTTTCAGTCAGATCTCCACGAATCTATCACTCCAAACACAGAGATTTCTTAATCCCTATCTATACCTTACTAAATCTGATCCCTCAGTGAGGTGCTCGCCGTCGAATTCCGCACTACCTACTATTCCTATTTCCAGATCTGAGCACACAATCAAAATTTCAAACCGCTTACCTCATCGGCAATGACGGGACCAGGGGCGTTAGCTTCAGCGCTAGGTCCGGGGGCGCCGACAGGAGGAGCGGGAGGGCTCGTCAATGAAGGCGACGGAGTTGGAGATTCGCTCTCCTTCTTCGACTTCTTGCTGGGAGCCGGGGCCGGGACATCGGCGGCAAGAGGAGAGGCGGTAGGCGTAGCAGCGGCGACGGGAGCAGGGGTAGGAGGAGCAGTAGCCGCTGCAGGCGGAGGAGAACTGACTGGAATGCAGCTGGAGGAGTGCTGACTGGAGTCACCGCTGCTGCTGGCGGCGTAGCGACCGGTGCTGCGGTTGGAGGAGCGAGGAAGGAGTAGCAGCCGGCGGAGAAGAAGCGGGAGCTGGCGATGCAGGCTTGCTAGCGGCGGGTGTGTGGTGGTTGGTGCAGTGGCGGGAGCAGCGGGGGTGGCCGGAGTGGTGGTGGTTGTCGGCGCGGCTGCCGAAGCTTGGCCGCCGACGCCTGCGACAATCACGCAGACCAATGCGAAAACAAGCGTCATACTCTTGCCCTCCATTTTTTCTGGCGAATTATAAAGAGCAGAAATAGTCGAGAGATTAGAGAGAGATGTGAAAGAGTGGTGAGTGTGGGAGGGGAAGAGCCGAGTGTGTGATTTATAGGAGAGAGAGGAGATCATTTGCAACGGACGGATGTCTGATCGATCTGGATCGTTGATTTTGGGGAGGAGGGGCCCGCAGTACAGCCGTTGAATGAGAGTGTGGGGGTTTAGCGGTGAATTTGGCTGTTGTTTTATTTTTTTACAAATAGTCTCTGCATTACCCATGAAACCAACTAAGGTTATAGAAGAGGTAGCAATACATTCAGGACAGGAAGTCAATCCAGTGGAAGCTGGTTCTTTGCCCGAGATCGAGCAATCCAGTTTGTCAAAGTATTCTGCTCACGCCTCACGAACTCAACCCTAACATCAAGTAGGCTACTGAGTGTCGAGCGAATTATGTCCATCCGCATTGGCCACAATCCATGGCCATCTATGCTTTGGTCCAGCAATCGCATCCACCATCACATTGCAGTCATATTTGATCACAAACGGGGATTGGTTAGACAGCGCGAACAAACATCCTTCATGAATTGCTACTACTTCCGCTTCCAAAGCAGAATCGCAGAGGAGGGAGTCGGCCTTTCCTTCGCACACCTCGCCATGGGAATTAGTGACAACAATCCCATATGCCGCCTCCCGGGAATCGTGAAGAACGATCCATCATAGTGAATTTCCCCATAAGGAATTCTTGGCGGTGGTGGGGGGTGAGAAGGAAGTGGAGTAGGTCGACCAATTTGGCTGTTTGGGGAATCAAAAGGAAGGAAGGGTCCAACGGAAACAGCGAGAGGCCTTCGGTTCTGTTTCTTCTCTGTGAACTGTGATGTTGGGCCAACAGTTGGGTGGGCCTGCAGGAGGATGGGGGCGAGGGCAGGCGGCGATTGTGTGCATCAACGCATGTGCTAAGCGATGCCACGTCGGCTCAAACAACCTGTCTTTTTTTGTCTTTAACAAATGGATTGATCAAATCATCATTCAAACTAGCCGTTACAAATTATCATCTCTACGGTACCACTTTCATAACGCTGGTAATGATTCGAGTCAAACCGAACTTTGACATAGTTTAGGCTCGACTCGTTAAAATTCAAAGTTCGAGCTCGGCTCGAGTTCGTGAGCTTTAATATAGTAATATACATGCTAAGCTCGGCTCGTTTATGAAAATGAGAGGTCGAGGTCGGCTTGAGCTCCAAATAAGCTTAAAGAGCTCAAAATGGAGTTCAACTCGTAAAATGTTCATGATAGATCAAGATTGGGGGTTGAACTGAGCACAAAATTACATTCAAACCTGTAGCAAAGTCTCTAACAAAATAAAACACAATATTTATCCAATTTTCAATACATAAAGTCCATGAATTCCAATCTTTTGTGATGCCAAACCGTTAATGAGCTTGTTCGCGAGCTTTCGAGCTGAACATGATATAGCTCGAGTTTGGCTCGTTTAGTTATGAAGGTTGTTCGTGAACCAACTCAATTAAGACAAATCGAATGTCGAACGAAGTGTCATTCATCAACGGTTTGGTTCATTAACAGCCCTACACTTTCATAATCCACTTATTGGGCTTCCATCACAATATGTTGTGAAGCGTTAGATCAGGAGTGGATTGGACTGGATTGGACGAATATGATAATAATTTTGTAAATAAAATGTTATCGTTAGGGATGGCAATTTCGACCTGACCCAATTTACCCGACCTGTTTGGCCTGTTTTGGGGTGGGTCAAACCCGCCCCGTAGGCGGGGCGGGGCGGCCATGGGTACCTATCATCGACCCGACCTGTCCTGACCCGCCACATTCTCGACCCATCCTTGCCTAAATTACATATAATCTTAGTCAAATTACTTAAGATTTTTCTCTTATTACATTATATTTTAGCTATAATAAAGTTGTAAATAAGTGAAAACCTCAATTTCTTCAATAATTTAACTACATTTTATCATATTATGGTTTCTTTCTTGGTCTTTCAATGAAAAGAACGAATATTTCTAATGTTTTTCCACATAAATTACATACCCATTGGGTCGACCTGCCCCGACCTGCACCCCGTAATAAATTACCCGACCTGAACTCGACCTGCCATGAGGCAGGTATGGGTATTGAGATACCCGTCCCGGACCTGCCCCATTGCCATTCCTAGTTATCGTGTCCATTCAACGATTATAAATAATATATTTTTTTACAAAAGATAATCATTTATATTGATTGAAAAAGAGATCAGTACATCCTGGAAGTTAACCAGACCATAAAATTAAAAAGACAACATGTAGTCGGGTACAAAAAGAGGGTCTTTCTAGTAACCAAATGGACTACCCTATTGCTACTCCGATCTACAAATCGCATATTAAACCCAGTGTGCATAGCCAACAGACGCAAGACTTCTTCTAAGATGGCGCCCGCCTGACTATAACAACCATTGGCGTGGTTGAGTTTATCAATAATCACTTTGGACTCACCTTCGAACCTAACCTTCGAGAAGCACGGGATAGCCTCTCAAAGGACCAGGAGCTCAACTACCATAAGATCATCAATCACATCAAATTGGACCCCGAGCCAAAATGACATCCCATCTTAGTTCTTGATAGACGCTTAAATGTCTAATTTGACAATGTACAACATTTTTAAACTCGTGCTCACAAGAGGCTATGGGCACCATACCATAATTGCCCTTTCATAATCCTGCAATTATTATCGTTTTGCCATTCAAACATGAATTTTCTTTTCAGAATATCCAAGCCAACATTAAATTTTCCTGACAGGGCCTAGGAGTAAAAAACTCCTCCGGCCCAGTCCATATTTACCCGGTTTTTAACCCAAAACCGAATAAAAGGCCCAACATCCCCAAAGCCCACCCCAAACCCTAGAAACTCCAGCCCATATCCCCTAGTGCCCCCAACCCAGCCTAAATGTCGACCAATTCCCTTGGACATTTCCCAGTCCCACACACCGCCACAACTAGGGCTGGAAGTTTGGTATCGGTATTTGGGATATACCGAATACCGTGCTAAATTTGTCTATATTTGGTATTACCGAATATACGTATTATTTTTTGGGATTGGGATTGAATTTCAATTGTTATTCGGTATTAGGGATTACGGGATTAGGATCGGTATATACCGAAATACCGATCAATATCGAAATATAAGTTAGTGTTTATTTTATCCTCTCAACTAGATTCTCTCATTCACTACTACGCGACCCTCAACCACCAAAAGTGTCATTTAATTATACAAAGATCATTAATCACTATTTCACACTAGTATTAGTCGTTTCTCAACCTCAAATTCGTAAAATTAAAGATTACCAATTACAAGAACTTGAGATGTTAGCTCTAGGAAACTCAAGACTATTTGCTTAGTCTCTTTGCCCTAAATTAAAATATAAAATCTAGTTTATATATTTAATTATTAATTGTAAAGGTAATTAATTATGTATTCGATAATACCGATTGAGATACCGAAATTATTTAGGGATCGGGATACCAAAATTATCTAGAGATTGGGATTGAGATTGATTTTAGGGTGTAATTCGGCATTCGGGATTTCGGTATTTGGTATTGGGATACTGATACCGTACCGATTTCCACCCCTAGCCACAACCACTGCTCTCCCCTCTCCTATCCTCTCCGATCTCCGATTGGTGACACAAACGCTGATCCCCGATCAGCAACCCACTGCTCTGCCTCCGCTGGCCTCTCCCTCTGGCCGACGACTGCTTAGTCGCAGTGAATCAGAAGGAAGAAGAAGATAAAGGGAAACGGTAGGGGACAAGCAATGGCGAGACGGCGACAGAGATGGCGATGGCAATGACGATGCTGCCGCCGCCAAAAACCTTTCCCTTACTATTCCTGACATGCAAGGGGAAAGAAGAATCAACGGTAGGAGATAGGCGACGGCGATGGCCCTGCTTCTGTCTACAATTTCCTCAACGAGATCCGAACTTTGCTGCTGAATCGACGGTGAGGAAGGCGACGATTATTTCCGATTCGCTCGAATCCCATCTCCCAAGTCCCATATGAGAAGAGAGTCAAATATTTTGGATTTGATTTGATAGGGAAAAGAGGCAGAGGGAGGAGAAGAATTGCGTTGGTATGCAGGTGAGAGGTAGGACTTGGGACAGAGGGATTTTTAATATATATATTTTTTGTCCGATTCTTTCCATACGATAGCGTTTTGTGGAGAAACCTTTACATCCAGTTTTTGGTTGAAACCGGATCCCATCCAATCAGGTCACGATTGAAACCGAATACCCATCCAATCTCGTCTTTGTTTGTGGTATTGGTCCAAACAGTTTAAAAACTCAGGTTAATCTGGTCTAGTTTAACCAAACAAGACCATTTCCCACCCCTAATTATATCTAATAGCACTTAGAAGTTTTTCTAGTGTTGAATCCTTTGATTGATTGGTGAGTGACTCGGTAACACTAAAAATCCAAATCATAGTCCAAGTGCAACCAATAAGAGGAACACAATATAGAGGTAACAAGTTTAATTGTCAACCCAGGGTCTCTAAATGTATTAATCTGTTATCTTGCGACTAGCAATCATATTTGAGTGATAGTAATTAAGAACTAAGAAAGCAGTGAAAATTTGATTTGAGTTTTAGTTATCAAAGAGGTCACTCAAGTATTGATTCACCCTAGTTTCTAGCCAAATTAATGGTAATTGACTCCTTCATTTATTTCACTCGATTTTTATAATGTGGAGAATCCTTAAGTAGTCTTGAATCTCTACATTGGATTTTTTTAGTTACAACACAAGTCCGAAATGCTCTCTAGTAATCCTCCGGGACTGAATACCTCGCCGCTGGCATCCGCTCACCCTGGTCGGCCGCCGGATAATACCCAAGCAGCGAGCTCGCCTGATTCAACTGTCTCTCTCATGGCCTCCACAACGACGACTGCCCCGTCGGAGATGGTGGTAGACGAACCCGCAGCAGTTACTGAAACTCCTCGCCAGTCTGAGATCCCTGCGACGGATACGATGGTGGCTGCCGCCATGGTTAGATCGTTGTCGATTGCTCCGCCAGCAGCAGAGGCCGGCTCCTTTAGCTATGCTAGCGCTGTTGTCGCCTTCAAGAGTCAGGCCTTACCAACTTCGGTGAGTAATCAATGGACACCGGTGGGGGAACATGATCTAATACCCGGAGATTTCAATGGCGAACCAGCGCTGAAAATCTCACCAGGCTTCAAGAGTCGAATATGCGCTCCATGGCAGAGAACTCTAGTTGTTCGGCTGCTCGGTGTTAAAGTGGGGTTCACTACTCTGTGTGCTCGACTCCGTGCACAATGGCGTCCGATCGGACACATGGAAATTAGAGATTTGGACCATGATTGTTATCTCGTTAAGCTCGAGAATGAGCAGGATTACTTCAAGGCTCTCACTGATGGACCATGGACAGTTTTCGATCACTATATGGTTGTTCAGCAATGGACACCAAAATTTAGAGTCTCTGATCATCTTCCGAAGAAGATGATAGTCTGGATTCAATTACCGGGACTCCCAATTCATTTCTACCACAAGGAAGTCCTGATCTCTATCGGTAATTTGATCGGGCGCACAATCAAATTGGATTATCACACCCTGAATCAGCAAAGGGCCAAATTCGCGCGTCTCGCCGTGGAGATTGATCTTGAGAAAGCTCTGGTGCCGAGAGTCTACCTTGATGATGAATGGCAAAAAATAGAGTACGAGAACCTCCCAGAGGTGTGCTTCGATTGCGGTAAGATAGGCCATACTTCAAGCTGCTGCCCCAACCTCCGTTCGACCTCTCTGGTCGAGGCTCAAGCAGTGACCGGAAACAGAGGATAGGAGGAGGTGGCTCCGACAACTTCAGAGACGGACGCCGGTTTCGGGCCTTGGATGATTGTTACCAAAAAGAGCCGCCGTAATTATCGGGATAACAATCGGAATTGGAAGGAGGAGAATGACGTTGGAAAATCTTCTCAAGGCAATGGAGGAAAGTTGGGCAAGAACGGATCAAAAGGAAAGGAAAGTGTGGGACGCTCACCTTCTCCTCAAATCTTGGTAGGCCAACAGACATCTACTCCTGATGCTAAATTTGTGGCAGCAGAGAAGAGGAAGGAGGAAATAAAGAAAGGTAAGGAAAAGCTAGGCTCACCCCCATCTTCTTCGGGCAAAGGCCTTTTGGGCCCAGGTCTTGCTCCAACCTTGGCAACCGGGCTCAAGCCCAATAATGGGCTATTGAAAGCCTCTTCCTCCTCTGCTCCTTTCGAGTTGCCCAGAGAAAGGCAATCTGAGCCTCCAAAGACTGAGCGTTCAGCCCACATAGCCATCCCTCAAGCTCTTTCCTCTCTTCCTGTGCAAACTACAATTGGGCCCAATGGTACGAACATTCAGCTCGTCACCATCCAGCAACCCTCCTTCAAGCCAAAATCACAAATAGCCACCTCCCCGACGCCGACAACCCAGGGAAAACAAAAAGGCAGTAAGAGTTCCAAATCCCGCTCCCGCAAATTATCTCCGATCAAGAACAATCATCTTAAGCCGCTTCAAATTTGGTCCCCAATGAAAGAAAAGAAAAGCAAAGCTAAATCTCGATTAGCAACTCTTACCCTTCAAGACATTCACGCCTGGACTAAGGGGGGAAAGGAAGTTCCGACCGCCGAAAGCATGGAGGAACAGACATCAGCCGATGATTGCGCAAAGTCTCAATCTCTAGAGGCCAAGTCAGCAATCATCCTCGTCTAAAACTGGTGAACCCGTTCCTCTTCTTTTCGCTTCCTTTCTTATCGATTTTTTTATGTCGTCTACAAATTATGTTAAAATTTTTCTTGGAACGTTGGTGGAGCAGGGAGCAGAGCCTTTGCGCGCTCTTTGAAGCTGGCTATTGATACTCACCGTCCTGATTTTGTTATTCTCCTTGAACCCCAGATCAGTGGCAACACAGCAGACACTGTTTGTGACCGATTGGGCTTTCCTAATGTGATTAGAGTTGATGCCGATGGAAGAAGGGGCGGAATCTGGATTTTCTGGGATGAACGGAAATTCTCGGCGCTCCTCACTTCAGCCTGCTCTCAACACATATCTCTCCGTATCTCCCAGGGTAATGCGACTCCTTGGATACTCACGGCAGTGTACGCCTCACCCCAACCGAGCAGGCAACATAGCTTATGGGGTAACCTGATTGAGCAGAGCAGGACAGTTCACATCCCCTGGGTTCTAACTGGAGATTGGAATGCAATCAGGGCTCCGGAAGAGAAGAGCAGTTCTCCCTCCTCATCCACTCTAAGGAAGTGTCGCCTCTTCAATGATCGCATCAACCAGGCTGAACTAATCGATCTTGGCTACTCAGGGCCGTGTTTTACTTGGTACAGAGGAGGGCAGCATAGCACTCACAAAGCTAGCAGGCTCGATCGTAGCTTCTGCAACCCAGCATGGAATGCTACCTTCCCCAACACTTCGGTTCTGCATCTTCCACGGCTTCACTCTGATCATAACCCAATCCTTACCACAATTGCTTCACAGGGGCAACTTTCGCCCGACTCTCGCCCCTTTAAATTTGAAGCTGCCTGGTTCACCCATTCTGACTTCTTGAATTTCGTTGCAGGCACTTGGGATGACAACTCCTCTTTCCCTGAAGCTCTGAGCAACCTTGCAACTAAGCTCAAGGAGTGGAACTCCAACGTTTTTGGAAATATTCAGCAAAAGAAACGCAGGCTTCTTGCTCGAATTCGAGGAGTGGAGCTTAGACTTGCGGACTCCTTCACCCCAGGGCTAGGCAAACTCCACTCCAAGCTAGAAGATGAGTTGGACAAAGTCTTGGAACAAGAAGAGCTCCTGTGGTTTCAAAGAGCGAGAGAGCAGTGGGTCAAGTTCGGAGAGCGGAACACGTCGTACTTTCACCAACAAGTCAATATTAGGAGACGCCGCAATAAGATCGAGACTCTGAGAGATGCTAATGGGTTGTGGGTAGACGATCCTCAGGCCCTTGGCCTCCTAGTCTTTGATTATTTTGCTAATCTTTACTTGCAGGATAGTTCAGTCTATGAAGACCGACTACCTAAACAGGCGTTCCCTAGACTTGATTCAACTGAGATGATGACCCTAATGCGTCCCTTCACAATCATGGACATCCACCAAGCAATTTTTGATATGAAGCCCTTCCAGGCTCCTGGGCCAGACGGGTTTCAGGCGGCTTTCTACCAGCATTCTTGGAGCACGACTGGAAGGTCTCTTGCACAGATGGCTATCCAGTTTTTCTCAACAGGGCTGCTTCCAGATGCGGTGACCGAGTCAACAGTGGTGCTCATCCCAAAGGTTGACAACCCTGAGATGGTCACTCAGCTAAGACCAATCTCTCTGAATAATGTCAGCCTAAAAGCCATAACCAAGGCCATGACGAGTCGTCTGAAACCGATCATGAGGAAGTTAGTCTCTCCCAGACAAAGTAGCTTCATCCCGGGCAGGCAAACAACGGATAATGTCATCATTGTGCAAGAAGTCCTCCATACCCTCAGAAAGAGAAAAGGAAGGAAAGGCGGGATGGTTTTTAAGATTGATCTCGAGAAAGCGTATGATATGCTTCGTTGGGAGTTCTTGAGAGACACTTTGAAAGAAATTGGCCTCCCAAGCTCCTGGATAAGTTGTATTATGTACTGCGTGGAGCAAAACAGAATGAGAATCCTGTGGAATGGGAAGCTTTCTCAATCAATCACTCCCACCCGCGGCGTTCGTCAGGGAGATCCCTTGTCACCCTATCTTTTTGTTTTATGTATGGAGCGCCTGTCTCATAAGATTGATGAAGCCTGTCTTAGTAAGAAATGGAAACCCATTCATCTTACTAAGGAAGGCCTGCCTCTGACTCATCTCTTTTTCGCAGATGACCTGCTTCTTTTTGCTGAAGCAGAATCGCGCCAGATTACGGTGGTCAAGGAGTGCCTCGATGACTTCTGTTATAGCTCGGGGCAGCGAGTCAATTACAACAAGTCGATTATGTATATCTCCTCCAATGTGGACCGAGCCAAGGCGTCTCTTCTGAGTAGGAAAGCAGGAATCCCTCTTAAGCAGGAGCTTGGAAAATACTTGGGAATTGATACCATCCATGGTCGAGTCACTAAAGGGCGGTATCAGGGATTAATCTTGAGAATTCAGAAGAAGTTGGCCCCCTGGAAGGCCCGTCGTCTATCCCTGGCAGCCAGGCTCACAATTGCTCGTTCGGTAACCTCATCACTTCCCACCTATACTATGAGCACTGAACTTATTCCCAGTGGTGTGTGCAAAAATATAGACAAGATAAACAGGGACTTTATCTGGGGAGAGGAGAAAAAATACAAAATGCACCTTGTAGCATGGGATAAAATGGTTCTCCCTAAGAAGCAAGGAGGAGCCGACCCCAGATCTCTTAGGCAAGCAAATCTAGCTATGCTGGCAAAAGGTGGATGGAGAATTCTTAAGGAGAAGGACAGCCTGTGGACCAAGGTGATGAGGGAGAAATACGGCCGAGGCCAAGAAGATTTAAACATCATCCGACCTATTCAGGGAAGTTCCTTCACTTGGAACAGCTTTTCTAGAGCTGCTAATCTTCTTCGAAAAGGTTGTGCTTGGAATATAAAGAATGGTAAACACACTAAGTTTTGGTTGGATGTGTGGATTTTGCAGGTACCCTTGATAGACGTAGCTGTGAGCACGATCCCAAGTGACATAGAAGGTGCTGTGGTTGCGGATTTCGTGACGCAAGAAGGAACATGGCGGACCGAACTCTTCTCAGACCTTCTTCCCCAGGATGTTCTGCAGAAAATTCTCAGCACGGCGGTGGACAACCTGTCGACGGAGGGTGACACGATGTTTTGGAGTGCTTCCTCGGATGGAAAGTTTTCAGCAAAGTCGGCCTATAGCCTTCTTAATCAACATACTGCAGATCCAGATGAGAAGCATTGGAAGACAATTTGGCAGCTACCTGTCCCTGAGCGTGTCAGGAACTTCATGTGGGTGACTCTCCTTGGGAAAATAGTAACTAATCTACTTCGTTTTTCCAGGAAATTGGCGCCTAACTCGGATTGTGTGCGATGCCAAGGGCAGCCCGAAAGCATTCTCCATATTCTTAGGGACTGCCCCCCAGCTCTCTTCTTTTGGACAAGGCATGTGCCGGGCCCGAAGCAGCACACCTTCTTCAGTGCTGACCAACATAGTTGGCTTCGAGCTAACCTCGCCAACACCAATATTGGCAGCCTAGGGATGTCGTGGGCTGCTTTTTTCAGTGTTGCAGTGTGGTGCTTGTGGAAGAATAGATGCACCTTCGTTTTCAAGGGTGCTTCAGCGGCTCTGTCTCCTCCGACTCTCGCTCATTCTATTGTGGCCAAAGCCAAGCTATGGCATCAGGCATGGGAAGCTCCAACTCTTCTCCCCAACAACAGAGTCCAACCGGCTACGCGGGTCTTGGCTAGCATTGGCTGGAAAGCTCCGCCTGCAGGTTGGTTCTCTCTCAACATTGATGGAGCTTCTTGTGGTAACCCAGGACCAGCAGGAACTGGAGGATGCATTCGAGATAGTTCAGGGAAGTGGATCACTGGCTTTGTTGGAAACATTGGATCGGCCACAGCAGCGTTAGCCGAGCTTTGGGCTTTCTTTCATGGTCTGGAGATAGCTTGGACTAGAGGTTGCCGAGTTTTAAGAATAGAATCTGACTCCAAACTAGCATGGGCATTACTTTTGAGCGTCGCATTGTTGCTACCTCTTCTACCTCTTCCCCTTCATCCACCCCCATGTAACACCTTTCTTCTGCTTGGCTGCGGCCTCCTTGTAACGCAAAAAAAAAAAAGTAGTCTTGAATCTCGATTAAAGAAGACAAGTTCCTCTTGAATAGACTGCTTAGAAGGACACTATCCTCACCGAGACAGAATACCAAAGCACTGCAAATTAGATTCCCTCTATTGGACTAAACTTTCGTTCAAAAGTAGTGCACCGATTCAATCTCCTGCAATTGAGTCCTTACTTCGAATTGACGATGCTATATTAACCTATTAAGATATTCTCTTTCCTATATTAAAGCAGAAATCATAAGAATTTGACCAGAATTCAAACAACTCATGAAAAATGCATCAACTGGATATAGTTTGAAGTTTAACAATCTAGATTCTCAAATAATCATCAATCTAACCATATAAAATAAGAGTTCCTCAAAATCCAAGTGATAAGGGAGTCTACTTCATAGAGAAAGTAAACGATATAATAAAAAGTAGAGGAACCCATTTGTGATTCATCTATATTCACCATTTCATTTACTCTTTGCAATCATTTGCTCTTTGCAAGGGGAAAAGCACGGTGTCGCCACTAGAAAATCACAGTCTTCTTTTCACAGTAATACCAGTGATTTGCCTATAAAGTCTTTCCCGAGAAGCACGACCGGTAATCTGCGTGGTCGGGATTCGGGATGCCATGGCCGTGATTTTTATATGAAATGCACGAGTGGTCCTTATGGAATCACGATCGTGAGTTTTCTTGGCCGAGCTGTGATTTCCACGAGTGACCGGATAGGGTGCTAACACCTTAAGTATTAGTATCATGCTAATATAATTCATTAAAGATATTATAGTAACTGAAAACTCATAACAACCTTTTCCTTTTCTCTATCCTCCCGTTGCTCTCAGCCGTTCTCCCTCTACCCCACCTCCACTTCTCTCTCTGTGTAAAAAAAAAACTCGCCAAGTTACTTATAATATAATTATTACACCATTATATAAAATCATTTC